AAAACAGGTATTATTCACTACGAAATGCAATTTTTGTCTTGCACATCTAACATGGACCTTCATCAAATCAGACACATGCAAAAGCACAGACGAAAATATAGTTATGATAATTTGGAACCCGCTCCAAAAATGAAAAGACTGCAGCAGATATATTTTAGAAACAAAATCAAATTCAAAGTTAGACAACAGCACAAGAGTGAGACAATTCCAACCATTGATATCTGCGTTAATTAATTCAAAGAGAAAATCAGGGAAGGTCCTTACTGGTATGCTGTGTATACAATGTTATCACGATGAAATATACTTCCCTGCTTTCAGACCATTACGATTACAATTTCATAATATATCTTTTTTAACACACGCATCAATTGGCATGTACTTATCACCCTTGGGAAGGCGGACTCCTTAAATAAAAAAGACTGGGGTGCTCGTTGTACCTTTTAGGGGTTAAAAAGGGTGGGCTTGGTACCCCTTAGGCTGTTTAGCCTCAAAAGATCCACAGCAGCAGCTCCTGTGATACCTTTTAGGGTATTGCACCAAATATAAGTGACAGTGCGTTGTTGTAGAATTGGTGTCTTTCAGAGATGAAAAAAAATTTTATGCCACGCCCGCAAACCAGGACCTTGGTACCTCTCTTCTCTTAGAACCACTGCGCACCACGAATGGTCAACACTCATAACAGCACGTCTACCTATAGCCCGACTTACGATCTTGGATCGTCTTGTTACATTACATTTTGCTATATTTCATTACGCTCTTATTTATTTGAATTACCTTTTTTCTAACTTTTTTTGTTTCTTGCAAAGTATGTGTGAAGAGAAATACTGTTAAGAGTCCTCCAAGAAATTGCATTCTCTCGTATTCCAATACATGTCGTCGGTGATAAAAGTCGCATTCATTAATTTGCTGTTTAAGATATCTAGATAATGCAACTAGAGATAAGCTTAAAACAAACTGAATTTAAGGATGAGTGACTCCTATGATTAAATGGAGAAAATAAAGTATTTTCCTGCTAAATGTATACAAGTCAAGGCTCTGAGAACTGATTTTATCATTTATATGTGTTTTCTCCCCCTGTTGTTGTTGTTTTTTTTTTTCGCTCCGTCGCTGATAGAAATAAACAAAATGTATTGGTTATCTATAGAGACACGAATGAAGTACATCACTTTCTAGCTTTGTGCAGAAAGATGCCTAATCTCTGATACAAATATAGTTGACGCTCATTTTCATCCTCATCGTTCGTGTTGTGAGTTTGGTAGAGAAGCTGCGGGAAAAAACTCGGATGGCTGTCAAAAAATTCGTAATGCATAAGAAAAAAACATCCTGTTACCGAGTGAAGAAAATCTTGACTCCAACACGAGATATTGTATGGTGAAAATTGTGCGACATTATTCATAGCAGGATGGTGTGGGGGGAGTAGAACTGTGGGTGTTTTCGAAAAGGCCTCTTTAAATTCTAACAAAACTATAGAAATTTGAAGGCAAACTTTCAACGATAAGATAACACTTTGCAGTCACAAGAAGTAGGTTCTCATGTTGACTTCAGGCTAACGGTAATTAAAATTAAATGTTTTCAGGAGCATTCGCATCCTTTGAAGGATGAGATTGCGCACGAGAAAATCAATACGAAAATGGCATCAACTAATTACCATTTTTCGCCTCAGTAATGATTGATGCGCGTCTAAAAAGTTCATCCAAGCAAAGTAAAATATACCTACAGTTAACTGCTGACGTACCAATTCATTCTTGGTTTTCGCAACCCCCACGTTTGAAGTTCAAACTATGTTCCAAATCAGCTAAATTCGAATATCTTTCAATCGCGTAAACATTGTAGTTATTCGATTTAACAACCAGTTTCGTTTAAGCACTCAGCTTCGAATAAGTGCCCACCTTGAATAAGCACTTTCTTTCTTTCAAGGTTCAAAGGATTTATATTCGCCAAAGGCGCTTAATCTATTAAATAATCTATTAAAACTTTCATCTTCAAGCTAATCTTTATGAAATTTGTGTAAACCAAGTATTTCATACAATCATGTGGGTGACTTTTTACACGAAACACAAAAAAATTGTCAACTATCAGCCTTTAAAGAGGTAACAGTCTCAAGACATTGGAGAAACGATCGCTTAGTAGAGAGCTCTTTTAAGCAGTATTTTCACAGAAAACAAAACGTTTTTCACATAGTTGGCGCTTTAGGGAAGTGATTCATTAAAAATAGATTGCTAATAGAGATGAATGGTTTTAGCTCTTTATTTGAGGAGAAGATTATCCATCTAGAGATTAGCATTTTAAGTTTTAGGAGAGGCGCACGAAAAATCCTGTGGTAAATATAGAATGATAAATGAGATGATCAGAAGACCTGCAATAAGAAATATTTTAGTGTCTTAATGTACATTTAAATGCAAATGACGATAAAAAGAGGACGAAGCAAATAGCAAAGTAAGTTAAAAATTATTTCACCACTTTTAAATTTGTACTTAATTATTTATACTGACACATCGCCATAAAATTACCAAAAGTGCCAAAAGAGGATAAGAACCCAATGATTTTGCTGCAAAAAAATCCCATTGGATTTTTCTTGGTTTTTGTCAATTGCAATCTTCCTTTTGTATTAACAGAAAGGAAAAGCTCCATAATTCATTTTGAAATACCGGAAAATTGTTGGTTTTTGATGAAAAAAAAAACCAGCTTCTCAAGGAAATTTATCTATCTGTATTATCTAGGCCCAGACGAAATTTTCGCAGTCCTCCGCGTTTTTCTATGCCAAATTCGATTATTTATGACCCATCTATCTTTCTCTTCGAAATAAAAGCTTGCTTACCCAGTAAGTTTTAGCATGGAAGAGAGGAACAAAAAAAAGCACAGGGGGATGTTTTTTGACGTGGATGAAATTATCCGCATTTAATCAGGAAAGTATTTGGCAGGATCGAGGGGGAGTTCGATTAAATTTACTTATAACAGGAAGCATCAAGCACGAAAGGACATAGTAGCAATATATCATTTGGTAGGTTATCCTTTGCTTTTAGCTAGATTTTCATTTCTTGGTACGTTCGTGCCTCGCAAGAAATTTTTGCAAAGTTTATTTTATTTCTTACAGACCTGTTAAATTTATACATTGAGAAAATCGCATGAGACGGGTTAATAATAGGTGCTAATGAAAGTGCTCTTCTCGAGAAAATAGGTCACCGTGGAAGTAATAGGTAAGGACCAGTGTTCTGAGTAATGAATGAGATGTAATGTCCTGGTGCCACTGTTCACTGCTATGGTAGGACTTTGTATGCTATGATATTTGTATGATATGATATTTGTATGCATTGAGATGACGATCAAAGAATATATTTATCCCTGTTTCCTTCGATCGGCAGCGTTGAGAAAACCTATCTTCTCACAGGTTGTAAGGAACTGTCCTTTATTAAACCTTAGGCAATCTGTTTTTGAAAACCGTCCAACCTATGACGCTCTAACATTTAACAATGTTGATCTCATCGTCAAAGCAGCAGTGCAATCATTTCTAATAAGATTACTTGAGATAAATTTTTAGTTTTCTTAATCTGAAATGCGATTTCTAAAAGGAATCAAAGACAATCGATGCAGCTAAAAAATAAATGCATATTTCAAAAGCTATACTGCTTCAACTTAAACAATTGCAGAATTCAAAAAGTGCTAATAAACAAAATTTGCAATAGGACGTTTATATTGAAACATTTGATTGAGAAAAAGTGTTTGAGCACCAATGGGATGCTTGGATACCGTGTCCTTTTTCCACCAAGGTGAGGATTTCATCCTTTCCTAAACATACTGAAGAAGGTTCCGGACGCACTAGACTGACAAAATTTGATTGGCCCTTCCAAAAAAAAAGTGCTATTCTCACGACAACTATATTATTTGTCATGCTGCGAAGAAAAGCGTAAAAATGGTTTTACATTGTAGAATAACTCAATAACTAAGTGATAAAATATTTGAATCAATGTTCATCTCCTAGAAAAGTCAAATGTCTCTTAACAAAGAAAGTCATGCCAATAAACCACTTAAAGTCACGAAGGTAAGTAACGATAAGTAACTTAACTTTGAAGCTAAGACGGTCTAAGTCAGCTCAACAGCTGGAATATCTTCCATTTTTTTGTCTCGGTCTTTGATTTTCACATATCTTTTTCAAGCAATCTAACATCTCGTTCAATTTTTTTAGTGGTGATTTTGTTTTCTTCTTCTAAATAAATTCTTCAACTGACCAAACGGAAGCAAACTTTCCCTTGGCCATTTTTCAGAAACGGCACGGCACGGTTTTTGTGGAACGGCTGTCAGATGACTTTTATCTATCGTTAGGAAAATTTCGTTGTTTGCGTTGCTGATTACAAAAATTATATTTTTGCACGGTGAAACACTCCACTCCTTCAGCTATATTTAAATACAGTTTTATTCAGTGATATTTCGTGGATAGAACTTAGTACCTATATATGGAATGACATTTTTTTCCATGAAGACTGTATTTTGTCAAATGAGACCAGTGACGTAAGGGAAAGGTGGAGAGGAAATCGAATCCTTAAACCGGAACTTTGCGGTTATGGTTTGTAAAAGAATGGCGGTCATAACCCAAGTATGGTGACCAGCTGGGGGTCAATATGGATCACCTTTCGTCGTTTCTTACGAGGAGCTAAAAGGCCGCATCGACAACGAATATCTTGTGATGACTACGTACATTTCATGACTACATTTCTTCGGCCCATGCACATGCCAGATAAGGGAAGCATAGAAAGTTGGTACTCATCTCATTTATTCCATTTGCTCTAAGTTGTTTTCGAGTGCTTGTATTATAATTAAGATGATAGGAAGCATCTTCATTGTGCCTAGAATTGGCAAACAGATTTTTATTCGTTAAATCAGTCGCATTTTTTTTCATTCTTCTACTTCATAATTGTATCAATTCTGCTCCCTCAAAGCGAGGGAAACTACCTTTAAAGACAAATAGCAACATATTTTCTGTTTGAATGAGAGACCGACTTAAAGAGATTTCCTGACTTGACCACATCGACAGAAAATTTTCTTTGACTGTCTTCGGATTCTATTGCGTTTTTTTTTTTTTTTTCTTGTTTAATTGTTTATGGATGTCGACAAGTGTTTCATCGCTCATTCGTTTTCTTTGGAAACTGACATAAAGCGTTAAAAGAGAAGTGCAGGGGATGTTTGGAGTCGCCGTCATCCGTATTCATTTGACATTCATTATCAATTTATCTCTTGAAACTGGTGTTGTTCCTAGTGAGTAGAAAGTGGCAAAGGTGATTCCTCTCTACAAATCTAGCTCTCTGCAGTGGCTGAGATCGACAATTATAAACCCATCTCAATTCTTCCCACTTTGTCAGAAATCTTAGAGAAAACAGTCTACAAGCAGCTAAGGGCTCATCTGGAACGTCTTAGTCAGAGTACCAGTTTGGTTTCCATCCATTTTCATCATAATTCCTTATACATTAGAAACAATTGGAAATCAGTAAAACTCCCAAGGTGAAGTTGGATTTTGCGCGCCGTAGTTTTTATTTTTTAGGTGCTTCGCTTTTTAATTCATTGCCATTACGTTTGAGAAACATTAATCCCAAAAGTTTTATTTAGGAAAATCCTGGACGATTTTTACTTGTGATTTTTTTTATTGTAGTTTTTAACGGTTTTAACCTAGTGAATGTCTTCTTTAAATATTTTTGTTTATTCTTATTTATGTTATAATTATGTTATGTATTTTTTTAACAGCAGGACCTCGTTGCTAACAGTACTTGGTACTGAAGGGTTATCCTGGTAAAATATTCGATTATTATTATTTTATTATTATTATTATTATTATAACTATTCTTTTAATTATATAATTATATCAAACTTTATTAACACTCAAAGCAAATAACTATTTATAAGTTGAAAGTAAAAACGACCTAATAGTAGTTCCGATTTCAATTAAAATCCTATTTACAATCTAATCCTTTTCATCATCATCAATATAATAATATATAATAATATTGTCGATATATAATAATATTGTCGATGCTAAAATAAAATGCGTCTTTATTGCTCAAGAGATAAAATTACGCTAGCCCTAAAATATAATCATAATAATTTAATAAATTCACAAAAAGGTAGAAACAAAAAAAAAAGAGAAAGTATATATAAAACTTGGTAAAATTCACAAAACTACGTTGGACAGGCGGTAGCGTTGTCGAGGGAGACGTCCAAGTCGATGATATCGAAGTTTCTTCTGATGGATCGTGATCCTCTCAGACATAGAAAAGCTGAACGAATGAGCGCAAATGACACCTTGGCTCTAATCCATGACATGGTGCTTGCATAGCTCTCTCCCTTCTTATTTGATACTTACTCAGCTAAACGTTTATGGTATATTTTACATTCTGTGCCCATTCCACCTGTTGTACTAAATATTAAAGGCGTAAAAGTTCCATGTTCGACCTCCATGACCCTGTTGGCATACCGACGTGTCTTCTCACTCTCATGCTGCCTGTAAACTTGCTCGGGAGTCTTTTCACGGTAGGATTCTGCATTTGGGTGGCATACCCGAACATCAAAGAATGCAGATCTCTGTCGCTCCCAGAAACCTTGGGCGTGTATGTCGAGACGGGCGTCGGGGGCTCTGTTCGCACCCCTATTCAAGGTCTCCCCAGTCATCTGCTGAAGAATCGACTCCACCTCGACATCACTAGATACTATGCGTAGCGGGTCAGCTTCTAGATCTCGAAGCTCGTTGTGACGTTGAATCACAAAACCACCCCTCCTGCAGATCATCGCATGGTCAACATCAAAGAAATCTCCACATACGCTGGTCTTCGGTAGATCGGAGATTTCCCAGCCATATCTAATTTTGATGGCGTCTCTAAATTCTCGCTTGCTTAGATTGTAACCCAGATCTTTCATGGGTATGACAGTTAGCCAGCTCGAAGCGCCCTTTTCCGATGCTAGCTCTACCGCTCTCATAGCTCTTGATGTTAGGCTGTTCTTGACCAACTCTCGTGTCTCTTTTAGGAGCTCATTTTTCTTAGCTTGTGCATGTAATTTTGCAGAGCGTGTGTCTGCCGCATCCAGAGGTAGATGGTCTTGAGTGACAATGCGTGTCACTAGGGGTTTTGTGCCAGTGACTGATGCCTTGTATTCTATAGATGACAATTGTGTCGGTTTTGAGAGGCCCAGTCCCCCCATGCGTAATGGGAGTGCAAGAAGCCCGCAATCATCTGTAATAACTGGATAGTCTTTAATGGCGGGAATCAATATTTCTGTTAGCGAACGCTCATGTGGCTTCAGTAAGTCGGTAATCTCGGGGAGTGTCCGTAAAAATTATGTCCAGCGGTGACGTAGACCAAACATAAAGGCGGCGTAGCTCGCCTGAGGCTGGGATATAGCGAATTCTGCAAGTTTGCTGACTTGGCGAACCCAGTCCTCGACTTTCTCTCCAACACATTCTTCCAGGAATGCCCTGGATCCGATGACTGCCCCAAGGTGCCTGTAGCCTTCAGATGTAATGTTAATCTTAGTATCAACGAAAATCTTTCTTGCAGCGTCTTCTTTCTCGGGCTTGGTGATAAGCCAACACTTGTTCGCGCTCGGGAAGTATCCTAATGCTGGTCCACTTTCGGAGAGATCGTCCCACCATTTTTTGACATCGTCAACCGAGCCGCTTCCGGTTGCGTCGTCAGCACACCAGCCTTGTTTGGTTTCACTTGACAGCTGTAATCTGGTTATACGCGGCTGAAGACTAATTGCGTACAGGCTCATATCGATACGATCACCCTGCGTGGTGCCTTCTGCAGATCGCAGTTCCTGCCCACCGATAACAAATAGCCGTGCAGGCTGCCTGTAAGTGTTGATTGTATACGTTGCTATGGTTGGGCACAAAATCCTCGTATTGTGCAGTGCCGCTGATCTGTTCAGAGCATTAAAGACATTGGAAGCGTCGATCAGTAGAACGGCATCCGTCTCGTCTGCTTCAAAGATGCTGCGCATCGCATTAATTGCAGCCTCGTTCCCACTTTTTAGCCCAGCACATACTTGCAGTGAGCCTCTTGCGTGGATAACATCAGATTTGGTGACTCTTATCACACACTTGTCGATAATTCTACGAAGAACTTCGCCTACTCCAATTGGTCGAACCGCACCCTCACCTTTGTCGAGTGGTATTAAACGATTTGATGGCAGTGCTTCGATGCTGAGTGGATCAACGTACTCCGTACACAATCTTCTAGCCAGTGCAGCGACAGCGTTACAGAGATCTGTGCCCGACTCCTTGAAAGATTTGCACGCAAGCAGTCTCCTGAAACCATTAGCATCCACTCCGGAGGGTCCCCCAGAGCCCCAGGTTCTAAGCGCGGGGTCTCGAAGCATTTCGCCATCATTTTCCGGAAACATCGTGTCTGGGATGTCTTCAATGGGTCCAAAGAGTAGGGATCCTAAGTGGGCTTCCTGTGCATCCGGGTGCTTTTCCTTGAGTTGCCTCATGACGTCATCATTTAGAGGAAGAACCCCTCCTCCATTATTATCACTAAGATAACGCAGAGCAACGTTTATTTGGCCTCTCATGACAAGATTAGCAAACACTTTAGCCTTATTGGGCCCTTCAGTATTAATAGAATTAGTGAGACGCCTTTGAATTATCCGTCCTTCACGCAGTAGGGTCCCGATGTCACCTTCTTTCCATAGTGCAAGACGTTTAGTCAATCAGTCTTGATGATCCTTTGCCTTAGACCTCTAGCCTGGCTTTTGAAGCCGAACTGCCAGAAGTACAATGGCTGCTTTAAGAGAGACATGCCGTCCCTCTGCTCCATTCTTCCAGTCCTTTATATGCTCAGTTGGTTTTTCTATGAAGTCTTTGCCTGTTTTCCCGTACGGAACCAGAAAGGTGTTCTTGCGCCATTTTGAGATTTTATCGTATGCATCATTGATTGTTGATGTCTTAACACTTATTGTTCTTGCGTCAATAGATAGCCCCCACTTAAATGAGCATGGAATTTCGAGCGCTTTGTATTTGAGCAGGCTTCCAATCGTGGGTGGTGCCTCCTCAGGGAGTTGTATTGGTGTTCACGGTATGCATATTTGTGTCTAGAGTCCTCTCATTTGTATTGCAGCTTTGCTGACTGCTTGGATTAAAATTTTCGACAATGGTTTCGCTTGAAGCAATATCGTCTACTGCAGTATTCGAGATAGTAGGCTCTTCGATATCACTGACCCGGTCGTTCTCCTGTACTCATTATTAGTATCGATGCTGCATTATTAGTATCGATTTTCTCCAATCTTGCGGCTTGATCCCTAAGATTCTGGCTTTTGAGGGCAAGATGCGTATAGCCTTTCGTCTCCCATAGCTCGGTCATTACCTGGATGTAGCCTTTCTTTCTCCCATTCCTATTTCTTGGAGCATCGTTCGACACAACCAAAGCCTGTGCATTTCTTTTACATTCAAGGAGGTCCTTGTTCATTCGTTCCGTCCACTTACGGTGTTTAGTTTTTCTTGACATCTTTTTGTGGAGCTACTCGTCACACGTCCGTCTCGTCTCCGTAGTAGTAGTCGATACTATTATTATTATCATTATTATCATTATTATTATTATTATTATTATTATTATTGAGCAACAGGTCAAATATCACGTATGCTCCCAAGTGATTTCCACCTCAGTTTGCGTGAAACAAGTAACCTTTCGTACAGAGGCCCGTAATGTTATAAGCTTCGCTTAACAAAATCATAAATCCTCTACAAATCAAATAAGTTTCGAAATAATGCGTGACATTTTCTTATTGTGCTTAACGATTTAAGACTTTGTCTCTTAGCCAAATCGCCCATGAGAACATAGTATATTCTTAGAGAAAGATGTTTTTCGTCTGGTCACGAGCGTGGGATAAGGAAAAAACTGAGTCCTCATGAGGAATCGAACCTCAGTCGGACCTTCACTGAAATAGTTCGGCAGGTGGAATTTAACCCTCTCGCCTAAGTTTTTAGCCTTATATGGAAGATAAAAGTGGCCGAATCGTGGCTCATAAAAACGCGCAAGTTTTTTCACATGACAATTAGAAAACAAGCTGCTTAAGGAGTGTGTTTTATGAATAAACAACAGCCGAATTCACACGAAGTTTGCTCGGGATTACAGCGCCATAAAACTCGGCTGCTGTGACTAACGTGGCCTTCCACTCAATCCATCGGAAATGATATCAGAGCAAGCTCTTCTTTGTTTACTGGTAATCTTTGTCCACAAAGGTAATACCAATCTCTTTTGAATTTGTTTTAGTAATGTGTCTTCAGTCGTTTTCGTAGGGGGTCTTCGTTTTCGTAGGGGGGTCTTCGTTTTCGTAATGGTTCTTCGTTTTCGTAATGGGTCTTCGTCTTCGTAGGGGGTCTTCGTTTTCGTAACTACCCTCTGACACCGTCGTGATTTGTATGAATTTTAACAGTTACGCCAGTTTGCATTTTTCATCATTCTTTTAATTTTCGGTTTTGTTTTTGAACACGAAACTACATATACGAAAGTTTGCTGTGTTTGATTATTAGTACCGTAGGTAACCTTACAATCTAACTGAGGGTAAACCTTCAAAACTTGGACTGTCCGTTTCTCTTTCTCCTTGAGGATTTCGTCTCTGCTCACGTTATAATAACGTCGATTACCGCGTTTGGCATGTTTACAAACCTTTATTTGGTTCTTTTGCTATATTCCGGCTCGCTTGTTCCGAAATTTGACTTTCAACTAACGAAAAATGCTAGAGAAGAGTCCGCGAATGGTTGGACGTAGTACAAATTTGCGCGACAGCTTTAGCTCAGCTCGCATTTTGTACTCTGACAGAGCGCGCTCTTTCAACCGATTACAGTGCGTTGTATCTGAATTTTATTGTAAAATAGTTTTGATCTATGTTGACATCAATGTTCTATCGCAATGTTATCTTGGGTCGGCTGATTGATTCTTAAAAAAATTTAGTATGACTACCCAAACAGTCGCGATAAAGGAGCCGCTCTTTAGCAGTTTCTTACTTTTGCTACCCTCCCGCGTTACAAATCTGATCTAATTAATCTATATAAAAAACTGATTCAGCCTATTGTTATCTTTTTTGATAGAGCGCTAGGATATAGAAGCTAAACAGTACTCTACACTGCTAGTTTACCATACGTCCCTCAAGAAGAAGATAAAGAAGATAGTTCATTTCTTCAACACATCGGTTCTTTCGACTCCGTTTAAAGTGTTATTTGACATTCCATTTTCATGGTATTATGGATATCAATAAGGTACCCTACTTCAACGAGTCAGAGAATGCAACAGCACGTTCAGATCATCTGCGCGAAGTCAACAACCAGCTTCAGACAAACAACACGGGGGTCGCAAAGTTGATGTCCATTGCAACAGTTATCGTCGTCATCAACAGTTTGGTCCTTTATTTAGTTTTCAAGAATAAATCCCTGCGGACCGTTCCAAACTATCCTCTTTTCAGTTTGGCAGCTTGTGACCTCTTCTGTGGATTTGTAGCCATTCCTTTATTTACAATGATATTTTTTACGCCACTGGTACAGTCTCAAGGGGCAACGAGGTTCTATCTGGGATTTTTGGTAACAGTTCTTCACAACTTCATAGCCATCGCCACTGTTTACCACATAGTTATTGTTACGGGGGAGCGTTACATGGCGATTAAATTTCCACTGAAACATCGCGTTATCGACCAAAAGAACGTTCTAACATTGTTAGCCATTGTCTGGATCTCTTCATTTTTTATATCATGTATTCCATTTACCTGGATCAATAAGATATATCCAGTATACAAACCAGTTTCTTTAAGATTAGCACTCGGTTTCACCATATTTTGCATGGTATTCGTCTTGGTTCTACCCTATATTTTCTTGATATATGCATTCACTGATATGTTTAAAGGTGTCTATGGTAAACCAAGGAGTACGAATCGATGTATTAATGACTCCAGAATGGCTCTGCGCCGCAGCCGAAGTATTGAAAAACATTCAGGTAGCGAGTTGAAGTGTCTAACACTTTTCGTCATCATGGCGTCCGTGTTTCTGATTTGTTGGCTTCCTTGGTTTGTAATATTTTTGTTATACCAGTTGTCCTTCGACATCTCTAAATTGCTTATACCATCTCAAATGGCGCTTTTGATCCGCTACATGACTTCAGTTGTCAACCCACTGCTCTACACTTTTCTAAAAAGAGACTTTTTTCAAGCTCTCAAGTTCACCTTCAGGAGACGCAGGCAAGTTTCGCATTCAGTTATCTACCCTAATGGACATGAGACATTGCAAACGGAATTCAACTACCAGTCTGGAGTGTCAGTCACTCATTCACGTGATTGCCAGTCCAAGGAGGTGAATTTAGGCACCATCCAAGAGGGTGAGGAGCATTTTGGTGACAGTACGTGTTGATAAACCTTATGAAAAGGTACTAACAGTGAACAGTCCTAAAAGTTGTTTTGGAGACTGTAATCATGATAACAAAGCGAGTAGCTTTCATTTCTTTTCTTTTCTTTTTCTAAATGAAGGAGTTTGTATTTTATGAGATATCGATGAATCATGTGTGACCGAGAGAGAAACATGTCGACTTTGAGATTGGCGATGAACGCAAATTTTCAGACTACCCAACCGTTTCAGTTTTGGACTCCTGTCCTCCTGTCCTTAAGGTGTAATTCAGTTTAGACCGCTGTTAAGCCGATTGATCATCTCCTCGGCCGTATTAAGTCTATGAGTTCGAGCTCACAATCAAACTGATTGAAACTCGTGTCTTATTTACAAACGCAAGTTGGGTTCGATTTCCGCCGCTCTCTTTGCGTCCCTCGGGGAAGAACGTAAATTCTTATACCAAGCAGTTGTTGCTATTTAGGTGTTCCTTTCTTTTTGCAGTAAACTGAAAAGAAACTAAAACCACGGACAAAACCTGTTGAGACAATTTGTTCTCATTTCAAAGTATTATTAGCCGAAAATTAAATCGGACAAATGTAAGCTATTCGATGTGGAGTTGAAAATTACAGAGTAACTGGTAGAACTCCGTGTATGGATATCAAACACGAGAACATTAACTTTCTTTACGAAGTATGAAATTCACTAATAAGGTATATACTGTTTTATGAACGGCATTTAGATATTATTTCAACGAAACTCATCTTAATATAGATCAGTTCTGGTGACGACGGCCGTCTGCCACTAACGGCGAGTCAATAAGCTGAATGTATTCCGGGCTGAACCGATCGCTTCTCTCCTTCTTTCGCAGGATAGCAGTTCAAAACGTCATGGAAAACTTAGGTATGGAAAAATCGTTTTAAATACGTGACTTTGCTAATAGTGCTTCCAAATGAATGCTGGGATTGGCTAACCTTTACTAGGTCGCTTAAGGGGTATTTTGTTTCGCGCGGCCTCGATCTCTGTTGTTGTTGTTGTATGATAGCAGAGCCAAAACATCTTTGCAAATTCTCCTAAAGTTGTATGTTTGCAAACCCTTTTCTTTCCATAATGGGCCGGGGTGATCTTCGACCTGTGTGAAAGGTTTTGGTTGAAATTTTATACCTTTCGGAATATGTACGGCCATGTTCACATTTCTAAAGTCACGTATTGCTGAGGAAAATGTTACTGAACACTCAAACTGCATGATGATGTCATAAGAAACTCTAATGAACCTCCTGCATGGAGAGCAATAGGCTGGAACATGATGGTCAAAATAAAAACATGATATCGATGAAATCTAAAGATCCTAATACAGTAAGAAAAAGGACAGTGAATGTATTATCTTCAATAACTAACGATAACTTTTTATCATGCATCATGTGCTTTATGTTACCATTTTACCTCATATCATTCTGATATATGTATATATTAAACTCCACAAAGATACTACACTGTTTGTTCATCCTCCACTTTTAACGGGCCTGGTGCATATTCACTGTTAACTCTGCGTTCCGTTATCAAACTTGTTGCTTGACTGTTGTTTCTCTTTTTTGATGTACGTCTTAGAACGATAGTCTTGAAAGACTCGAAGAAGTCCCTTTTAAGAAATGTGTAAAGTGCCGGATTGACAATGGAGGCTAAATACCTCATTATGACAAATGCATGAGCAAACTTCCACAGAACATTTTGTGCTTCGTAACTAAGACGAAACCAGAGATTGATGAAGAGGCTGACCAAATACCAGGGAAACCAACAAATAGCATAAAAAAAAGCCATAAGGGCGAAAATGATCAGACTTCGTTTAGTGTTTTTAACTTTTCGGTTTACTGCACTGCAGCTTAATCTCTCTCGTTTTCCAGACTTGAAGGACCTTCTCTGAATTTTTCTGAACATGATAACTTGGAAATATACCATTACGGTATATGGCAAAAGAAACACGATAACCATACTGAATATATTATGACCCGTTTGTATCTGTAGGGTCGCAGCTGAAACGTCCTCTTGATAGCAAATGAACCTATAAAACCACGTAATAGGCAGGAAAGCTATCACGATAGCAGCTAACCAAATAAAAAAAATAAGCTTCAAAACAGAACTCTTTGTTATCTTCCATCGGTGGCGAAACGGGTGAACGATTGAAAAATATCTCTCGGCAGTTATTGAGAAGATGTGGTAAACCACTGAAACTATTACCATATTATGCAGAACTACCACGAAAAATCCGAAAATCTTACCAGGTTGAGGGGCAAGTACTCTTGTAAACACAATAATGGTCAGAGGAAGATTGATGAGCCCAGTCATAAAGTCGCACACTGCCAGACTGAACAACAAATAATTGGCTGGTGTTCTTAGATGTTTGTCTTTAGCGAAAAGTACAAATACAACTCCATTAACGAAGGCAATCAACCCCGCAATCGGTAGTAGTTGTGCATAATACTCTGATCGCGCGTCTGTTAGGTTTGTCGAGGAGTTAACTGTCGCCATGACAAAAAGTAGCTATCTTATACCGCTCCACCCGAGCTGTTGGTATCTTTTTGACAGAATGGCAAGTTGCGTAAAGAAATGAAATTTCCGACGAAGGGCTAACGCTCGAAACGTCAGCTTTTGTAATCATTACGGTGGCCAATTTACCATTTCAACTTTGTTGATATATCCAAATTATCTCTTTAGTAGAATTGACCAGAGTCAATGCTTTTTGCAGATTAGAGGAAAAATATCATTTTACACAAACAGCTGAAAACTGTGCTACATTTAGAGAATGGGGGAAACCACAGGAAAATGGCTTTAGATTCGAAAAAGGTTAAGTGAGTCCGTTTCTCATCCGCCCCAACAAAGAAAACACCGTAGATCTTAAACCAATCCCTAATTTTCACGTTATCGTTTGTTATTGTTAAGCAAGTTCGCTATCTAGTTACTTTTGTCATTGCATCGACTTTTTATCTTATTTTGTATCGGCTGAAGCAGAATAAATGTCCAGGTGTGCCACCTGGTGTTACAGATAAATTCTCCTACGTGTTATTCTACGAACAATAATATATTTTTTTCTTATAATCTTTTGCCGAAACAAAATGAATTTTCTTCAGTACTTTACTAAAAAACTTAATAATAAACTGGAATTATCTCAAGAACAAATAATAGCTCAACATTGTAGTTTCAAGCGTACTTTCCTTTTATGATGTCTTCATAGTGTCAAAATGTCAAGGTTCTATGTAACAAGCTAAGAAGGCAATCACTTTATAACAGACCATGATGATAACCTCGGATATAGATGTAGGCTATAAAAGGACTTTTAGCTTGCCGTAGGTGTTTTTTTTTGTTTTTGTTTTGTTATGCTTTGTTTTTTTTTTTTTTACTATTATTATTCCAAAATTATCTGACTGTATCCATGAGAGAGTTGCTGGAGATTTTTTATAGGTATTCGTGAGTTTATATCTCAACAAACAACTCCTGGTTACAGAATCGGGAAAAAAAGCTTAATTTAAAAGGTCTCTTCTCATACTCTGAAATAAATAATAAGTAATTAGACTTGCAGCATCAGTACATTATTAGCAAAACATGTCATGAAAATTTAGAATAATTTCAACTAGGATGTGTTGTTTGATTGAAAACCAGAACTAACAAAATATTGAAACACCAAGACAAATGCCTTATTGACCAAGCGTGAGGTCAAGATGGCTGGATATTGGCCGAGTTCCTCTTTTTGCGTTATATGGACCAAGACGAAGTTGGCTGGCGCTGCCAGCTATGTAATAATACTTGTTATTGAGATCATAGAAGTGAAAGGGTTAACATTAAGTATCACTTTGTGATTAAGTAATGGTAGTCAGGATGGATGGATTGAATAAGTTCCCTACTGGACCCCTTCTGGGGCGTAAAGTGATTGAGAGGTCTTCTCCTATCCTTTCACATTGCAATTTTTCTTAGCCCAGCGGAAGGTCTTGCGTGGCGAGAAAGAAATTAATGAAAATGAATGAAAGACAGCATTGTCACCGCCTTTTTTTACGACTATCATTTTCATTAATCGCTCTTAAAATTGTTGGCAACGCAGGCTTGATTTTTCGAGAACTGCCACACATCAGTATAAACAATTTACAGGGATCCGAAGGAAAAGTAGTGCTCTGCTAGCTTTCGCAGAGCTAAAGCGTTTTAATACGTTAGATTCAGCAGGTGTATAGTACTTAAAAACAAAGCTTTTGCTTATTAGATGATACTTTTTTAAACTTTGAGCGCTCATCCAAATCTTTGTATGAACACTTGTAGAAATTTTTAACCTTATGGTTTTTTGAAAATTTAACTTTCAGTAGGCGACAAATCAAAATTGGCCTCGTAAAAATGCATTTGTTTTACCATGGAGGCGTAATGTAAACTTTTCAGCCGCCGAATAATAATGGCTAGGATATCCTTTATGCCTTTGTTACGCGCGGAAATGTAAAGAAAGGAGACAAATTATCTGAAAACGCCTCAGGCAGATTTATGTTTGTCATTTCCCTACAAACTAACGAGAAATCCTGAATTCAACTGAGAAGCCTTACCAAATATGATACTATTTGCGACCTTCTACTTAGTTTCTAACCTTGTATTTAGTTTCATGCTAAGAATGTAGAAACAGCATATTGAATAGCTGTGGTGTGAGGACTAATTTTGAACGGGACTGATGCACAATCACGACGAAGATTTTTCTAGGTTTTATCAAGTTCATGAAATAAACTTTTATGGCCACTTGGGATAAGGGTGGCAATACCCTCAAAAAACACGCCTTTTTTCTTAATTTTCTTTTAGAATACGAGCGTAAGTTCAAACCATCGGCTAGATTGAAGAAGAGATAGATTCTTCCCAAGGAAAGTGATGCAGGTAAATTCTCTCGATGCAAATGATAGGTTAAACAGTGTCGGCGGCTTTTGCTTAAAAGTGTTTGCTTTTAGGTTTGATGCCCCTACTGTTTGCCTTTATCTTGCTTGGATTGATATCCCGTGGTGTTCGCAGACTACTCAGTCAAAGACCCCATGCTCTATTCCCACAATTTCCGCGCGGAGATCGAAAAAAGAAAATTGAACTTTATTGGTGACAAACAAAAACGATTTTTGTTTGTCATCAGACTTGCCAAATCCATTTCAATAAAGAAATCCTCTGATCTGCGCTGCCCTTTATATTTCAATGTTGTCACACTGTTGTGTGTGTTTTCAGCCAATGTTGGCGCCTTGACCGTCTCTTTGGAGGAAGAAATGTTAGCTAGTGACTCTTTCTATTTTCATGCAATGCACATCTGCGATCTTTGCGTTCCTGAGAGGTTTCTTGTAACAAGACGATCTATGATCGTAAGTCGGGCTACAGGTAGACGTGCTGTTACGAGTGTCGACCATTCATGGTGCGCAGTGGTTCTAAAAAGAAATACTAAGAGGTACCAAGGTCCTGGTTTGTGGGCTTGGCATAAAATTTTTTCCACCCCTGAGAGGCACCAGTTCTACAACAACACACTGTCACATATTTTTGGCACAATGCCCTAAAAGGTATCACAGAAGCTTCTGCTGTGGACCTTTTGAGGCTGAACGAGCGCCTAGCAGGCAGCACACGTTTCCGACTCGCTCTCTCTGATTTCCAATTATTACCAATTTTTCCAATTTTTTACCATAAAACATTTTTAAAAAACACATTATCTACATTTTGGGGATCTCGTGGATGGCAAGGATTTACTCCAAAGCGTTTCTGGTGGCTGTTCGATCTTTAACTTTGCTGGAACCTCTCGATGGAGCTCTTTGGCGTTGCCTGGTCGACAATAGGATATCGAACCGTTTGCCGACACGTCGCGGCTGCAGAGCAGGGCGTCGAAAACTGGGACTTGCTGAACATGATTTGGCAAGCCCTAATCTACTCTCTCATCTGCCGCCGTTAAATAATGTCCCTTGCTCTAGTACTGAAGTTGAAGCATCAACTCAGCAAAATCTCCATATTGGAACATTAAATATTCAAAACGACACCTTTGCGTTTCGCTCTACTGGCTCCTTTCATCAAACAATGGGAGATCACGCACGGGATGCGGGACCACAAGCACCCAGTGTAATTTCAAGCAATTTATCGTGGAATGAACACATAAACAACGTTGTTAAGAAGGCCTCAAAGCGACTTTATTTTTTGGTTCAGCTAAAGCGTGCAAAGGTAGCCTTTAAAGATCTCGTGCTTTTCTACGTGGCCTGTATTAGATCTATATTAACGTACGCGACTCCTGTTTTCTATTATGCATTACCTATATATTTGCAGCAGGAGTTAGAGCGCGTTCAAAAAAGAGCTTTCTCTATTATAAGCTCAGGCCAAGACTATCACGAGATTTTAGAGGCTGCCGGCATTCCACCGATCATGGCTTATATGGAAGACATTTGCCGCAATCTCTTTAGCAACATTATCGGAAAAGATAATCACGGGCTTCGTGAATTGTTGCCTTGTGCCAACCATCCAAAGCACAATTTAAGACGTAACAGGCGTTTCGAAATCCCCCGGTGGAGGACAAACCGTTTTAAAAACACCTTCATGATGGCCTCCACCATTAAATATAACAACAACAGTTAATTTAACGACCGTTTCCTAGAAACCTATGTAGATAATGTAAATATAGCTTTTAAATATAGATAGGTTTTAGCTCATAGATTTTTTAATTGTTATAATTTTGAATATTCTTGTATACGTTATATAATATATTTAATTAATTACATTGTTGTAATATACGCAATTCAGCCGCAAGGCTGCTAGGTATATTTAAATAAACTATCTATCTATAAACTATCTATCTCTGAACAGCCCAAGAGCTACCAAACCCGCCTTTTTTAACCCCTGAAAGGTACGACGAGCACCCGAATCCTTTTTAGTTAAGGAGTACCCCTTCCCAAGGGGGATATGTACATGCCAATTGATGCATGTGTGAAAAAAGATATTATGAAACTGTAATCGTACTGACCTGAATACAGGGAAGTATGTTTTATCCCGAAAACATTGCATACACAGCATACCTATTAAGGACCTTCTCTGATTTTCTCTTTGATTTCTTTAATGCAGACATTAATAGTTGGGATTCTCTCACTCTCGTGCTGTTGTCTAACTTTGAATTTGATTTTGTTTTTAGAACTTATCTGTTACAGTCTTTTCTTTTTTGGAGCGGGTTCCAGATTGTCAGGACTATATTTTCGTCTGTGCTTTTGCATAATCGGTTTGATTTGATGAAAGTCCATGTGAGTTGTGTAAGACAAAAATTGGATTTCGTAGTGAACAATATCTGTTTTAAGTTTCTTTGTAACAATGTTAGAGGTAGCTTGTACTAATAATGGTAAACCACTCATTTTTATTTGTTGTATTGCAGGTTCACAAGTATCTTCATGGGTCAATAAGGAGAACGTGTACTTTGCTCTGACTGTTTGTTAAAAAATACAAGTGATACAGTAACTTGCAAGCCACAATAAAAACCTTGCATTTAAGTTGGACTGAAGTTTAACCAATAAGGAAAGGATGTTTTTATCAATCTTCCCTCGGGCTTTGGCAGAAGTCTAATATATCAACTGTCACCTCTGGTTGCGGAAGAGATGTCGACAAGGCCTTATCAGAATGGCAATATTCGAAGTGGCATCGTGTCGGTGATTTCACCTTTGGTATCTTTGATCAAAGATCAAGTTGAAGGTCTTCAACAAAGAGGAATTAAAGCTTCGTTTATCGGTACCGGTCAAGAGGAGGCCAATTTCAAGGAAATTGTGAATGGTGAAATGAACATCGTGTATTCGTCGCCAGAAGCCATGCTTGTAAATGATCGCTGGCGAGAGATGATTTGCTCTCAAGTTTACCAAAAACTGTGGTTGTTGTAGCGGTGGATGAAGCCCATTGCATTACTCACTGGTAGGCAAATATTCTAGCTTTTTGAAGGGAAAGTCAGAGCAACTACAGAATGCAGGGCCACTTTGGATCACCTCATTTACATGTGTGTCTAAACCTTTTGAAGAACGCGGGATAGCACAGTAGGCACTTTTTTGATTCAGCGAGATGTAAATAAGTGGCTAGTGATGACAGTGATATGACCTCCAAGTTCAAACGATTTAAAGCCAGCCAAAAGATGTGTTATCAGTGTTTACATTGTACTTTTAGCAATGTGTTCTAAGAATTTCCAGGATCAATGAAATTGCATGGCCATGCTCTTGCCAAGGCCAGTGGCCCCTGGCAACTTACTTTTGCCAATGATGTAGTACCCAGCAAATCTTAGTTTTTGGGTGTTTTCACATGATAGTACCCACCTGATGTACAAAACTTTATTTTGAGACTTTTTTAATCTGGGCGGATGATGTTTTTAGTTTTGTTTATGGTGTGGCTAATGTCCTTAAATTTCCCACAGGGTACTTATACAGACCATGACGTTGAAGAACCACACTCTCTAGCAGAGAGTGATGATGGAACTGCTTCAGTGGATACTAGTGCTAACAACTCTGAACTTATGAAATCATTTCAGAAGATAGAAGTCCCGACAATGCCAAACCCAGTGTCCCCCAGTTAAAGCGTGCTTCAGCTTCTGGTATACAGTCTTTAACACTTAAGTCTTCCCAATTGATTATCAAGGCAGTGTTTGGTGAAAACCTCAATTGTGAAAACATAGTGAAAGTTTTAAAGAATAAATTTTCTGTGAAACATCATTCCCTGACACCTTTGACAGTTACACAACTAATGGAAGTAATTTCCAATAAAAACTATTAAACCATAAATATTGTCACATCAGCCTTGGGGTCAATCAAGTGACATGAAAATGGATGATATTATTGTTTGTAAGGAAATTTCTTTGTGATTAAGAACTGCAGTATGGTGTAACCCAGCTGTCGTGTTCAGTTTACACTTTTAACTAAATGGTTTAATAAAAATGTTGCTGTTAACAGTAATATTGCTGTACCTTGTTCATTTTGTGGTTTTATTACTAAACAATATTATGTTGCAAGATACCTGTGCTTGAGTTTTGATATACACTGCATAGGTTAGTTAAGTGTAAGAAATTTACAGTTTTTCACTCCATGGGGTAAAGTGGACCATTATATTAGTTACTTGGGAGAGAACTAATTCAGTAAAAACCTATATTTATCCCATTAATGGGATTTCCAAACCCAGATTTTCCTCCAAAACTTGATTTCATTGTCCCAGTGTTAGGATAAATGTGGCTCTATTATAACCCAATATTTGGGATAAATGTGGCCCTATTATAACCTAATCAGATTTGGGATAAAAGTAACTCTTTTATAACCCAATATTTGTGATAGAAGTGGCCCTATTATTATATGGGACAAAAGTGACTATTTAAACCCAATGTTTGTGATAAAAATGGCCCTATTATAACCCAATATTTGGGATAAAAGTGGCCCTATTATTACCCAATAATTGGAATAAAAGTGGCCCAATATCCCACTATTGGGATTTGACTTGAACAACAAAATCACATTGCTGGAGTTTATCATATAAAGGGCAAAATTACTGAATTGTGATTGGTCAAGACAGAGGGCATTTTTCTTAATCTTTGTAATTGCCCCGGGCAAAATTACTTGAAAATGATTGGCTGAAAATCGCTTAGCAACGGCTGCCAAGGTAAAGAAATTTCTGTTTGTTTTGTAACAATGGCGTCCCGTTTTGCGCGAGATCAGTAAGAAAACATTCTTCCCCTTATATTATAAACAAGTAATCACATGGTTCCTCGTCAAATTAAAGATTAATATCACTTGTGTTTTCGGAAGTTGCAGAAATTGCCCTCGTCGCTGCCCTACATCGGCAACTTCCGAAAACACGCGTGATATTAATCCTTAATTTTACTCGGCCCCATGCGATTACCTATACTTATTACACGACTCAGGCAGTCAGAGGGCCAATAACTAAAATCAATCAATCAAAATGCTCTACTGCCGGTCCAATATTCTCTAAGTATTGGTCCGGGCACTGTCCTGAATGGTCCCGAATGATACCACACTTATGTCCCTTTGAACTTCAGTCGTATAATAAATCTCTTATTAACCAAACTTGCTCGGGACCGTACTGGAAGAATATCGGCCCTCGGTCATTTTTGTACGACCTCGCTGCGCTCGTTCCGTACTGTCAAGACCTCGGGCCGATATTCTCCCAGTACGGCCCTCGCGTTTGGTTAATAAAATATATATCTTGACCTCACGCTTGGTTAGTAACGCGTATATAATAAACGCACAAAAGCGACAAAACTAATGGAACAAATAGAAAAATAACAGCTGATAATGTACTCTGTTTGAGCAAAAGCATAACAAATGTAAGCTTAATAATCATGATAGAGGTCACATATAGATATAAAAATTACGTTTATCCTCACTCCTGATGAAAGTCCAACATGGCGTCTTTGTTGTCGTTCCCTAGAGTTTGATCACGAGACACCTCGTCCTTATCAGCAAATGTTCTCCTGTCACTCTGTCCACATTTTCATCATCATCATCATCATCATCATGTTTATTTGTTCAAGCAGGTTGAATTTATTGGCAACTGTATAAGCTGATGTGGACTTGCTTTTTTCCCACTCAATCCACCCCAGGGAAGGACATACAGCACACAGTAATCTCGTGCGTGGGAAATTAACGTCTTTTACCCCTTACCCTTTAAGAGACGGGACCTCCGGCTTTACGTCCTATCCGATAAGACGAAACAATGTGAGTGAAGTGTCTTGCTTAAGGACACAACGTTATTCAGCGACCAGCAAGTTGTCAGTTTGTAAGGCTTGCTACCGACGATTGATCAAGTTCAAAAAGACCTCTGTTCATCTTGAAGAGTTCAAAGATGAATTGAAGGAAATCTTCAAGAATCGAGAACTTCCCAGAAAGAAGCGCTTATTGAGCGTTGAGAGCGACGGTGGAGAAATCCAAGCTTCGTGCCGTGGGAAGTCCTCGAAATGTTTACAATTCGATCCGATCAATCCGACTTGTGTCTCTAATGCTACAGCCAATTCTAATATTTCTACCACGATCAGCCAAGAGGGACGTTATACTCCGGCAAGATTTCCTATTCGTTCTAATGGTGTATTGATTTTGATTCCTCAAAATTATCACTGGATAAACAAACACAAGAAAAACATGCTCAGGGGTATCAGAGCTAGATAAACAGTAAACAAAACAATTTTTTTTGTTGCCTCATGGGAAATTGAATTCTGTAGTCCATAGCTTTTGAGAATTCACACTGTCTATTCAGTATGCCACTGCAGTGTTAAGTAGTCTATGAATAGTCTGGAACAACACAAATGTACAATATATGAGAGCCTAGTGACAAGTATGTGCCAATGATGACAAACTGTTACAGCCAAAAAATGTCAAAACAGGACCCTGAAAAAGTCTGTTAGCCCAGATTTTAACCCAAGAAGTACCCAGGTGCTGCAACTACTGATATAAATGAAGTTGATATAAATGTCTTCATACGAATCTGATCTATTCAAAAGTCTGAAAGATTTGCAATCTCACTGAATAATGACTAATAGCAGTCTAACATTTTTGCTCAATATGCAAGAAGAATACAATTTGATACTGGCAGCAGCACCAATGAAGAGATTCAATTTTCAAAGAATCAATTGGTCAATATAACCCATGGAATTCTGAAGGTTTCAGTCAAAGTGAAGTAGACCACCTATTTAGCGCCTTAGTTTTACCAAATTTCACTTATGGTGTGCCTGTTTATGGCGCTATAGACTCAGATCTCATGGTCATACAAAANATAGATTTTGCGTCAACTGCCGACACGCCGTTTGGTAGGAGATCGTGGTGCCAAGTCTGCTAAGCGCTCCCGAGCGCACTGAACTGTCTTAAAAGATTTGTGCGTGAAAAGGAGAACCAGAACTAATGGGTAAGAAGATGGACTAGAGGCATATCAAAGATGACTCGATGACGCATGGGTAATTGTGAGCTGTAAACAATATTTTCAGCTTTTTGTACGATTTAACACTTGTAAAAGAGTTTTAATTTCTAATCTGGTTTCGACGCTTCAATAAAACTTTAGTTCCCAGGCTTAACGCTTCAACTCCGGCGTGATGTCAAGAGGTGACGGCACAAACGCGTTACCATGCAACCAGTCCTAAACAAATCGAAACTTTTTTTCGCACCAATAGCTCGGTTCTTACTGAAGCAAAGTGAAAGAGAATGAATTTTTCGTGTTTATCAAATACTTCGAGTGAAGATAATAGTTGCAAAATGAACAAAAACATCTCAGGTCAGCAAGAGTTCGTGAAGAAATCCAGTTCTGCGAGAATAGTTGATGAAGAAGTCAATGTCACTAATCGTTCCGCTGAGAGTTATCATGAGCCTCTGGAGGCCTCTCATGGTCTCTCATGATCATGGTTAATGAGGTGGGTGTTTCCCAATCATTACGGCTGTTTGTTTTTCGCTTAAATTAAACGTTTGGTGCAATTAAGTCAGAACTTGTCACAGGAAGAAGCACGAAGAAAAATCTTAAGTGATTTTTTCGTCGGACGCGTAAGTTGACTTTATTCGATATATGAGCTAAGAAAATAGTTCGTAATTGGTTAAATTTGAATCAAATTTGAGTTTCCTCCCAACGCCCAAACTAAGCTCAAACTTAAGTCCGTTCAACATCGGAGAAACTTTAAAAGCAAAAGGAAACTTTTTGGATCAAAGATGCTCTAATGAAAAGCATTTCGTTCACCAAACAATCGAACTTGTTACTACACTTTTTCAGAATGCTAAAACGAAAGAAAGTTTTCGCACGGCTAAAGAAAGTTTTCGCACGGCTTAAATACCCGGAACGCCTGGTAAATTCTACCATAAACACCTTCTGACAATCAAGAATTGTTGGTACGCAGCCCACACAGACGCCCAAAGAACCAATATCCATTGTTCGTGTGGTCATACCTTTCAAAGATCAGGAATCAGCAAATTATGTTAAGAAAGAGCTCAAGAATCTTAGCATGAAGGTGCAGACAACTGTCCAGCCAGTATTTGTTAGCCGCAAAGTTGGCCAAGATCTTAAAGTACGAGAAATCAAGCCACAGATTGTCAACCAACAACGCGTCGTTTATCAATTTCAATGTGACCTGTGTGATGCGGGTTATGTGGGCTATACACGCGGACACTTACACACACGCGTGGATGGACATAAACGAAAGGCATCTTCAATATATAAACACTACCACGAACGGCACAGCGAAGTCCCGAAAGACCTACTGAAACGTTTTAGCATTCTGAAAAAGTGTAGTAACAAGTTCGATTGTTTGGTGAACGAAATGCTTTTCATCAGAGACTTAAAACCCACTCTGAACGTGCAAAGCGATTCAATTCGCGCAAAAGTATTTGTTTAATTAGCTCGTAACATATTTATGCTAATTTAGTGTTACACCTTGCCACAAACTT